GGGCAATGAAGCTGCAGGAGTATGGAAAGACCCTACAGCATGTGGACGGCCTCTCTCAGAACCCCCTACAGCTGGAACCGACAGTGAGCTTGACACTATTGGCAAGATAAGTGGAATTGGGGCGGAACCAAGGGGAGCAAGTCTTCTGTGATGCTATCACTTGCATTCACGTCTATCTGCTTCCCATCACATATTCGTGCGTTGCATGCGTGGTGTGAGCGTGTGCAAGAATTTGTGTTCGATGTGGTTTGGTTTTTCTGAGTGTGTGTGAATGTTATTTGGCTTGAGCAGATATCTGAAGTCACTTCTCTGCTCAAGAGCTTTCCGACGAACCAAGTATCGCTTCAATCGGAGCACGAACAAAAAAGTTACGAACGTTGGAAGTTTGTATGTTTTTTTTATATTTGGTTGTGGTGACTATGGGAAGTTGTGGGGTTGACTCCATAAGAGGTATAGAATTTTGGGGGTTGGGAAATTCGTCAACATTACTGTAGATGCTGCCAAGTGGTTGGGAGAAACCAAACCAGGTTGGCAAGTGTGGCCAAGTTGGGCAAAGTGGATGGCATGGGTTGGAAAGTGACAAAAGTAAAAGTGGGGCTCCTATAGGGAAGGAATTTGGTGTGCTTATGGGGTTTCCTTGGTTGGGGACTCTCATGGGACCTTCTTTTTCGTCCTCCTCTTCCCTACTTTCTGGTTTATTGGTACTCCAACTTTCTTGTGTGAAATTGTGAGACAATTGTGATTGAGTTAAGATTCGATGGCAGCTTACCCCCTAGTGCGCCGAAATTCATAACTCAAGAAATACTTCACCTTATTGTACGATTCAAATTGGAAATTGTAGCCACGGACTAGCGCTACAAAATATCTGAGTTTAGTGAAGTTTTGAAAGTGTACTTTTTGTCGACGACGTTTCTTGTGGACTCGACTTTTCTGTCCAGAAACTAGGCCCGATGATTTTGAGATATTTAGACCCCTAATCTTCGTAGACCTCGTCCTTAGTCTCTAACAACAAGGGGCTGGCAGATATTTGGGAAAGCGAACAACCCATTCAATGGGTAAAGGGAGAGACAGGGGAGGATGAGGAAATGGCGGAGAGAGTGAGGGCGAGGGGACATCACTACAGGTGGTATCAGTAGCAGTTACAGATACAGACCAAGGATGGATGGAAGCTGGTGCCAGCACCTAGTGATCGAGAAGCAGTGATCAAGGAGGTGCATACAAAGCTGGGGCATTTTGGGCATGAGAGGACGGTGCAGCTACTGAAAATGGGGTGGTGGTGGGAGGGAATGCGAAGAGAAGTGAAGGGCTGGGTGGAGGGCTATGAGGCATGCCAGAGGAGCAGGGCTAAACTTACCCAGGCCAAGGCTGAATTGCAGTTCCTGCCCATCCGAGGCCTAGGCTTCAGGTGGTACTTGGATCTAGCCGAGGAACTGCCTTTGAGCTAGGGGGGTAAGCAATACATCGTGCTCATGGTGGAGCACGTGAGCAAGTGGCTGGAGGTTAGGGCAATACCGAGTAAGAGCTCAAGGCAGGTGGCAGCCGCATTCAAGGAGCAAGTGATTTGTAGATTTGGGGCATGTGCAGAAGTCCTCACAGATCAGGGAACCGAGTTTCAGGGAGACTTCAAGAAAGCTGCTGGAAGAGGCAGGGTTCACTCACAAGCGCACCTCCCGCTACCACCCACAGAGTGATGGGTTGACAGAGCACCTGGTGCAGACCTTAAAGCGGGGATTGCGAGCGTATGGGGAGAAGAGGAAGCGGGATTCGGATGAGGAGCTGCACTAGATCGCAACAGGATACAGGTTTGGGAAACAGGCTGCCTTGAGAGACCACTCCCCATATAGCCTCCTATATGGATGTGAGCCATTGCTGCCAGTAGGAGCAACCCGGGTCCTCACAGACACAGTGACAGCAGGCACCATAGACTATTGGGTGGCGCTGTCAGAAGCTAAAGCAAGGTACCTGCGGGTGATGATGCCGGTTGCGTTGGAAAACCTCCACACCGCACAGCTGAGAGACGTCAGGCGCTATGAACAACGGCAGTAGCAAGGGGCGGGGAGTAGAGCACAGAAGGGAGTGGGACTGGGGCACGAAGTGTACCTAAGGAAGGCAAAGCAAGATACATTGGACGTTGTGGTGGGAACAGAAAGATGGAGGGTAAAGGAAGTACGCCCCTTAGGGATAATGGTGTTGGAGAACGAGAAGGGGGCACAACTGGAAAAACGTCAGACCAACACGGCCGTGGTAAGGGGCAGCAAGCCTCAGCAGAGTGGTCTAAGACACGAGCTCGAGCTGCTCGAGCACGGGCACAGGAGGGGGCAGGGAGTGACTGAGGCAGAGCAACACGAAGAAGGAAGCGGGAGGGAGACAAGGGGGAGGAGAACAGGTGCTGCAAGGGGCACGGTCCTACAGGCAGAGACGGTCAGCAGAAGGGTTAGTGTTGGAAGGAGCACTGATCTCCGACAGCTATCACCGCATATGCACATGCAATAACAGTAGTGAAGGGGTAAAGGGAGTAGTAAAGGGGATAACCGTATATGCATCTCAATTAGAATAATGTGTGGTGTAGAGTGTAGCAAGGTTACTGTTTGACTAGGTGTAGAAGGAGGGAACGGAATGGAAACAAGTGGGGATTTTGGGGGGGAAAGCATCGAAGGGCGAAATCTGTGACGAAGGGCGAAATGTGTCCCAACCCCGAGCCGCGCAGTGGGGAATGGGCAGCACAGGGTTGGGCTAGGTAAGATCACACACGCTCCTGTATTCGTTGCTTGTTTCTTGTTATTCTCTCGTATCAGTGGAAGTTAGCACTCTAAGCTCGTAGCACACAGTGGTACGCCACTAGGAGGGAACCAGTGGGGTGAGGGAGAGATCCCATTCATTGGGAGTGACTGAGGCAGCGCAACATAAAGAAGGAAGCGGAAGGGAGACAAGGGGGAGGAGAAGAGGTGCTGCAAGGGGCAAGGTCCTACGGGCAGAGAAACTCAGCAGAAGGGTTAGTGTTGGAAGGAGCATTGATCTCCTACATAGCCTATGCTGCCGCTCGATCTGCTGGGGGCAGCCTATTCTATCGTTGGTTCTGCTGGGGGCAGCCTACGCTAGCACATGTGGAGTGCGGTTCTGTGCGGTTGTGTGCGGTTTCAGGGGAGCTAGCACAGATGGAGTGCGGTTCTGTGCGATTCTAGGGGGGGTTAGCACGGGTGGAATGCGATTCTGTGCAGTTCGAGGGGAGCACGGGTGGAGTGCGATTCTGTGCGGTATTAGGGGGTTAGCACAGGTGGAATGCGGTTCTGTGCAGTTCCAGGGGAGCTAGTATGTGTGGAGTGTGATTCGGCGCGGTTCTGCGTGTTTTCTGCGGTTCTGCGTGTTTTGTGCGGTTATGTACGGTTCTGCGGGCACGGGTGGTAGACTATGGTTTCCAGGTGTGGCTAGTTGGTGGGGTTGAGGCTAACTGGTGGAGCGGCGGGTGAGGCAGCTCGTGGGGCAGTGGGTGTCAGGTGGGGCGGCGGGTTTCAACTCGTGGGGAGACGGGTGACAGGTGGGGCAGCGGCTAACAGATGGGGCGGCGGGTAAGGCAGCGGTTAAAGGGTGGGGCAGCGGTTAAGGCAGCAGGTAATGGGTGGGGCGACGAGTTGCACGTGCGCGCGGCTGCTGCTGATGCGTGCGTACGACTAACAACGGGACCGCGGGGCCCACTATCCAAAGGGTCGCGGGGCCTGCTAGCGAATAAAGGGGTCGCGGGGCCTGCTAGCGAATAAAGGGGCCGCGGGGCCTGCTAGCGAATAAAGGGGCCGCGGGGCCTGCTAGCGAATAAAGGGGCCGCGGGGCCTGTTCCTACGGTTGATCGACAAGTGACGGGTGGGGCGCGCGTAGGAAACAGATGGGCGACGGGCGACGGGAGGGGAAAAATTAACGGGGGAAGGGCGACGAGAGGGGAAAAATCGATGGGCGACAAGAAAGCTACGGGCGACAGGGTGGGAACTGATGACGAGCGCGCTCCGGGCGACGGGCGACGGTCTACGAGGCGCGCATTACGACGGGGCGCGCGTTAGTACGAGGCGCGCGCTACCGAATTTGGTGGGCCCTTACTCTATCGAGAGTGAAAACGCTAGGGGAAACCCTAGCTAGGGAAACCTCGCTCTATACCATGTTAAAGCAAGGGTGCACATTCGGGGGGTGGTTTTTGGGGATATTGTCATGTACACCCTAGCAGGGCCAGTGATTCGCTAGCGAAATTTGGATCGGGTTGTTTGCCAGGTGCGAGCTGACGACACCACACTAGCGAGGCCTATCGAAATCGCCCAGTGTTTGGGGGAACTCACAGAGAGGGGTTGGGCGGAACGCCTGCCCCTTACGTTCCCAAAACGCGGAGAACTCCCTGAAAATGCCCCCTTCAGTGCGCGAGTCACCTCAGCTGTAGATTTGAAGCACGCAAATCCCAGCCCGTAGGGACTGAGGAAACGGCGATCCAAACGGCGCGACTGGCACTACGACTTGGTTAGTAATCAGCGATCTAACAGCCTCACACGAGTTCCGCATTTCGATCTCACGTGCGTAAGGCCACACTTCGAGTAGATCGCAGCGACGCCAAAGGGTGCGGCGAGGGGCGAAGGAGTAAAGAGGATTTTGATGCACCACTACCTCGCCGTGTTTATGGCGTCGTGCACACCCGCCGCGACGGCGAATTTCCTCCGCTGTGCATCACTCCCGCGCCCTGCGTCATGCACTGCCCCATGACACTAACAAAGCCGCCCATAAACAGTCACGCCTTCGCGGCGTTGCGGCGCAGTGTAAGGTGCGATGACAAAAAATCCACAGCATTACCACGTCGCGACAAAGTGGTAGGAGGGTCGGGTGCAAGACGTCGCGGCCTCACATCCTCGTCGCCTCCGCGCACGGGCTTCGCCCCCCCGTCCACACAACGCCGAAAAGCCGCGTAGCACACTCGTCGACGTGGCGTCTTAGCCTCGCACGTTAAATAGCCGACTCCCCGCCACGCCCACATGCATCCGCCTGCCGCATCGCAGCTGCATCGCCCAGAAGGCACACATGCCCCCACCTTCTTCCCCTCTCAGTTCAGTGCCTCCCCTCTCTCATCCCGTCCACCCCTCACCACCCCTTCCCTCCCCTCTCTCATCAGTCCTCCCTCTCTAGTCCCTCACTCTCCTCTCCCATTACCGTCCTCTCCTCTCGCATCCCTCCCGTCCCTCTCTCCTCCCATCCCCCCCTCTCTCATCCGTCCCTCTCATTTCTCATCCCGTCCTCTCCTCTGTCAACCCTCACTCACCTCTCTCGTTACGGCCTCCCCTCTCTCATCCATCCCTCTCCACAATCATCCCGTCCTCGCCTCACTCATCCCTCCCTCTCCTTTCCCATCCCGTCCTCTCATCTCATATCCCTCACTCTCATCTCTTATCCCTCCCTCTCCACTATCATCTCGTTCCCTCCTCTATCATCCCTCCGTCTCGTCTCTCATCCCTCCCGTCCCTTTCTCCTCCCTTCCCACACTCTCTCAACCCTCCCTCTCCATTCTCATCACGTACTCTCCTCTCTCGTCACGGCCTCCCCTCTCCCATCCCTTCCTCTCCACCAGCATCCCGTCCTCCCCACACATATGCCTCCCTCTCCTTTCCCATCCCGTCCTCTATGGCTCATCCCTCGCTCGCATCTCTCATCCCTCGCTCGCATCTCTCATCCCTCGCTCGCATCTCTCATCCCTCGCTCTCATCTCTCATCCCGTCCTCCCCCTCTCATCCCTCCATCTATCGTCCCTTCCTCCGCTCTCTCATCCCGTCCTCCCCTCTCTCCTCCCGTCCTCTCCTCTCTCCTCCAGTCCTCTCCTCTCCCATCTCGTCCCCCCCTCTCTCATCCCTCCCTCTCCACTCTCATCCCTCTGTTCGCCACGATGTGGGATCCCCGCCGCCGCTGGGTGGCTGCCTCGCCACCCCGCTATTGCAATCTGCGCCACGCCGACGCGCCGCCTCAACGGCTTGCGTCGTCCAGGTCGCGCCTCATCGCCTACGCCTCCACCGCCGCCTCGTTACCTCCAAGGATATAACCCGCTCCCACTTCCGTTCCCATCTCTCCCAGGGTCGCAACTCCCTTTTCCCCCATGTCGCACTTCCCCTTTCCCCCAAGTCGCACTTCCCCTTTCAGCCGGCTCGCACTTCAACTTCCCCACGGCTCGCTTATCGGCTTCACCCCATGACGCAGTACCTCTTCACCCAGGTCGCTCCACCCCTTTTCGACGGGTCGCACTCCCCCTTCCCCTCCACTTCCCCTACCCACCCATGTCGCTCTCCCCTCACCCACAGGTCTCACTTCCCCTTCCCCTCCACTTCCCCTACCCCCGCAGGTCGCTCATCCCCTTTCTCCCCGGTCGCCATTCCAACCCCCCCCCCCCCCATGTCGCTCCTCCCTGTCCCCCAGGTCGCACCCCCCCTTTCCCCCATGCCACACCTCCCTGTTCCCCCCCACAGAGCACCTTATCACTCCCTCACAATGCACTACCCCTCCCATCCCTTTGCTTCCTCTCCCCTCCAATCCCTTTTACTATCTTCGCTTCCCATCCCTCCCCTCCCCTTCTACAGGCCTCCCTGCACTTCCTATGCCCCTCTCCTCACATCCCTCTCCGCTCTCGTCCCGTCCCCCGCTCTCCCCTCCCTCTCCGCTCTGATCCCTTACTCTGCTCACTCATCCCTGCCCCGCCATCCCTCGTGACATGTCCTCCCCTCTCTCATCCCTCCCTCTTCACTCCGCTCGCATCCCGTCCTCCCATCTCTCATTTCTCGCGGATCTCTCTCATCCCGTCCTGCGCTCTCCCACCCGTGACTCTCCGCTCTCATCCCATCCTCCGCCCTCTCATCCCTCCTTCTCTGCTCTCGTCCCGCCCTCCCCTCTCTCAACAACTTCCCTCTTTGCTCTCATCCCGTCGACCGCTCTCCCTCCCCTGTATCCCATCCCTCATCCCGTCCGCCGCTATCTCTTCCCTTCCTCTCCTCTACAATCCCCTCCTCCGCTCCCTCACGCCTCCCTCTCCTCACCTATCCTGTCTGCCGCTCTCTCATCACTCCCGATGCCCGTGTTCCCCACTCCCCCGCAGGGCGTGTCGCCCCTGTTTCTCATCCGGGCCGTGCTCTACCCCGCGCTGCAGGGTGCACGGGCCTCGGTCTCAGGTGTGAGATACACTGTACCACGTGGTCAAAGCATGTGCATCAGGTGCTTTACCATGTGCCACAGTGAGTAATGCGCCTCAACGGAAGGCTCACACGTCCCTCCGCCCTTCTCTCATCCCCTCCTCCCATCTCTCCTCCCCTCCTTCCCTCCCTCGCCCGCTCCTCCCATCGCTCATCCCCTCCTCCCCTCTCTCATACCCTCTTCCCTCTCTCATCCGCTCCTCCCCTCCCTCATCCCCTCCTCCACACTCTCATCCCCTCCCTCCTCATCCCCTCCCCCTCTCTCATCCCCTCCCTCTTTCTCTCATTCCCGCCTCCCCATCACTCCTCCCCTCCTTCCTTCTCTTATCCCGCCCTCCCCTCTCTCATTTCCTCCTCCCCTCTCTTTTCGCGTCCTCCCCTCTCTCATCCCCTCCTCCCCTCTCTCATCCCCTCCTCACGTGGTCACGGGTGTCATCTCCCAACAAATCTGAACACTCCACGTAACACCGAAATCGGTGGTTCTTCGGCTCCACCTCCACGTCGTCCACCCCCACATCAAGGTTTGCGCCACAAGCAACCCGGATCACGTTTTCTACTGTACGTTGGTATGCAAAACGTCCTACAATAGCTTCAAACGGAAAGGATAACCCTGGCTGCCCACTTCCTCAGACCTCATGCTGTTTTGGGAAACGGCTTGCAAACTCATTGATCGTCCAGTAGAACGCTGCATTCACAATGATTGGGGGCAGGCCGGAGCAAACACGGACACGTCGAGTGATCCTAGGCGGAGATCTGCTCGGAACACTGCTCGTAGACACACCCGACTCCAACGTAGTAGATGCACTGTCCCGCTGCATCTCTTCCTCGGTCTCCTCAAGATCATCCTCGCAAACCATGCGTACCCCTTCCAGCCGACGACGCATGAGAGCCCTACAGCTTGGCCTGCCGGAAACAGTGACAAGGATGAATGTACGTGGGTTAAACAGGTAACTAGCAGTGTGGGGATGTTTTCAAGTGGAGTAGGTGCTGGTGGCGTAGAAATAGAAAACCGGAATGGCTTACCCAACAGGCCTGCCAGTTCGGGCGCGCTTTGCTGTGCCTCTGCCCGTCCCTTGCCGGTGCGACATTCTTATCCAGCCCCTGCCGGTGCGACATTTGTATGGTGAGAGGCAGGGAGGGGAAAGGGATACCGTTGGTGAGAGGCAGGGAGCGAAAGGAGATAAGAAGGGGGCGAGGCAGGGAGGCAAAGGTGATAAGAAGGGGGAGGGGCAGGGAGGGAAAGAGAATAGGGTTAGTGAGAGGCAGGGAGGGAAAGTGGATAAGAAGGGTGAGGGGCAGGGAGTGAAAGGGGATAGGAAGGGGGAGGGGCAGGGAGGGAAGGAGATAAGAAGGGTGAGAGGCAGGGAGGGAAAGGGGATAGGAAGGGGGAGGGGCAGGGAGGGGAAGGGGATAGGGTTGGTGAGAGGCAGGGAGGGAAAGGAGATAGGAAGGGTGAGAGGCAGGGAGGGAAAGGAGATGAGAAGGGTGAGAGGCAGGGAGGGAAATGGGATAAGAAGGGTGAGAGGCAGGGAGGCAAAGGGGATAGGAAGGGGGAGGGGCAGGGAGGGGAAGGGGATAAGAAGGGCGAGAGGCAGGGAGGGAAATGGGATAAGAAGGGCGAGAGGCAGGGAGGGAAAGGGGATAGGGTTGGTGAGAGGCAGGGAGGGAAAGGAGATAGGAAGGGTGAGAGGCAGGGAGGGAAAGGGGATAAGAAGGGTGCGAGGCAGGGAGGGAAATGGGATAAGAAGGGTGAGAGGCAGGGAGGCAAAGGGGATAGGAAGCGGGAGGGGCAGGGAGGGGAAGGGGATAAGAAGGGCGAGAGGCAGGGAGGGAAATGGGATAAGAAGGGCGAGAGGCAGAGAGGGAAAGGGGATAGGGTTGGTGAGAGGCAGGGAGGGAAAGGAGATAGGAAGGGTGAGAGGCAGGGAGGGAAAGGAGATAAGAAGGGTGAGAGGCAGGGAGGGAAAGGGGATAAGAAGGGTGAGAGGCAGGGAGGGAAAGGGGATAAAAAGGGTGAGAGGCAGGGAGGGAAAGGGGATAAAAAGGGTGAGAGGCAGGGAGGGAAAGGGGATAAAAAGGGTGAGAGGCAGGGAGGGAAAGGGGATAAAAAGGGTGAGAGGCAGGGAGGGGATAGGGGGATGAAGGACATAAGGCAGTTAGGGGAAAGGGGACAGAAGGGCATAAGGCCAAGATGGGAAAGGGGGAAGAAGGGCATAAGGTAGAGAGGGGAAAGGGGGAAGAAGGGCATAAGGCAGAGATGGGAAAGGGGGAAGAAGGGCATAAGGCAGAGATGGGAAAGGGGGAAGAAGGGCATAAGGCAGAGATGGGAAAGGGGGAAGAAGGGCATAAGGCAGAGAGGGGAAAGGGGGAAGAAGGGCATAAGGCAGAGAGGGGAAAGGGGAAAGAAGGGCATAAGGCAGTGAGGGGAAAGGGGGAAGAAGTGCATAAGGCTGTAAGGGGAAAGGGGGAAGAAGGGCATAAGGCAGAAAGGGGAAAGGGGGAAGAAGGGCACAAGGCAGAGAGGGGATAGATGGGGGAAGAAGGGCATAAGGCCGAAAGGGGAATGGGGGAAGAAGGGCATATGGCAGAGATGGGATAGGGGGAAGAAGGGTGTAGGGAAGAGAGGGAAATGGGGGAAGCAGGGCGTAAGGCACCGAGGGTTGAAAGGATGTAGAAGGGGGTATGTCATAGTGGGGAAAGGGGAAAAAGGGTGTAAGGCAGAAAAATCATGGTGGGGGACACAAGGTGTGAGGATGTGGGGGAATGGGGGGAGGATGGGCGGATGGCAGAGAGCGTACCCATGGTTTGGTACGGTGTAAGGAAGAGATGTAAAAGGGGGAAGCACGGTGTAAGGCACACCACGTATGGTGGGGGCACTAGGGTGTAAGGAGAGAGGGGAAAGGGGGAAGTAGAGCGTAGGTGAGAGAGCGGAAAGGGGGAAGAAAAGGGTAAGGCAGTGAGGAAAGAGGGGGAAGAAGGGTGTAAGGCGGAGAGGGGGGAAGGAACGAGGTGAAAGGCCGAGATAAGGGATAAAGGGGTCTTCTTGGTGCATTTTATGGTGCCCCCCTTCATATCCCTTCCGAGATGGGCGCAAGGGTTGCGTCCAGAGCGGAAGGGAGATGCGTTCAGAGGGCGCGACAGAGGGGCGCAGTCGAGGAGTGTCAGGGGTATAGCGGCGACGAAGGAGGGGGAGGAAGAGAGATAGCCGAGGGTGGTATGGCAGAGAAAGGGGTATAGCAGGGGGGAGTAAGGAACCGATCGGGGTTGTGCCGAGGGGTGGATGGGCGGTCGATGCGCATAGCCATGGGAGTATGAGAGTGAATGGGGTGTAGCATAGGGCAGTAATAGTGGGGACGGGCGATAGCCGAGCGGAGCAAGGGAGAGAAAGGGGTATTGCCGTGAAGAATATGGGGTAGCAAGGGGTGTATGTGTGGGGAGTTGTTAGGAGCTTGGGGTATGGCCGAGGGGAGTAAGGGACCTAATAGAGTGTGCGTGGAATGAGGTAGTTGGGGGGCTATTTGCGAGCGAGGGGAGTAAGGGAAGAAGGGGAAGAAGGGTTTTAAGGCAGATATGGTAGTGGGGGAAGAAGGGTGGGGGGAGGTGAGGGAAAGGGGGGCGAAGGTATACTGCAGTGAGGTGTGAGGGGGCAGAAGTGTGTAGGGAGGAAAGGGAATGGGGGGTAGAAGGGCGCAAGGCAGAGAGGTCAGAGTTGGAAGAGGTGTGTATGCCAGTGAGGGGAAGGGGAGCAGACTGCTGGTAGGAAGAGTGGGGAATGGGTGAAGACGGGTGGAGGCCAGAATGGGCAAGGGAGGAGTTGGAGGGACGGGAGAAAGGGGAAAGGTGGAAGCAGGGGAGTAAGGCAGAGTGGCGCAAGGGGGGAATACGGGCGAAAGGCAGAGAGGGGGAAGGGGGAAGAAGGGCGTATGGAAGCGGAAAAAAGGGGGAGAATGGCGTTCGGCAGAGAGGGGGGGGGAACAGGGGGAGGAAGGGTGTAAGGCAGAGAGGGGGGCAAGGGGAGAGGGGGGCAGGGGGAGGTCAGGTGTAAGGCAGAGAGGGGATACGGGGGAGATGGACGTAGGGCAGTGACCTAAAAAGGGGAAGCAGAGGGTGGGATGGAGGGGAAGCAGTCCAGGAAAGGAGGGGCAGCAGGGGGGGACTGAGTTGAGGGTTGCAAAGTGGGAGAGGACGGGGTATGCTGCTAATAAACCAGCACGGAGGGGTGACGGAGGGGAGTGAGAGTGGGCGACTTCTTGGAGGGAGCGTGTGCGACGGAGGGATGCGGGGCGTGACCGACGGGAGGGGAGTGGGCGTGGGCGGAAGAGGGGAGTGCACGGGGGCGGACGAGGGGAGTGTGCGCGGGGCGAAAGAGGGCAGTGCGCGGAGGTGGACGAGGGGAGTGTGCGTGGGTGCGTGCGCAAAAGAGGGCAGCGCGCGGGGGGAGGGGAGTGCGCGAGGGCGGACGAGGGGAGTGCGCGGGGGCGGACGAGGGGAGTGTGCGTGCGCGACAGAGGGGAATGGGCGGGGGCATGTGGGGAGTGTGCGTGGGCGAACGAGGGTAGTGCGCGGAGGGAGGGGAGTGGGCGTGGACGACAGAGAGGAATGCGCGGTGGCGAATTCAGGGGAGTGTGCGGAGGCGAAGCTGGGGAGTGCACAAGCATGCCTCACGGGATTGTGAGTGATACCTTGGAGGGATCGAGCGCTCGCGATGGCGACACGGTAACGCGTGCGGTGGGGGGCAGTGCTCGGTGTATTTTACGGTTTTGCTTTCCGTTCGGCGAGAATAGTGACGGCGGACGTCCCGCCGCCCCTCGGCCCAAGTCCCGCCCTCTGCGTGCGGCGTTGTGGTGGGAGGCGCGCTAAATGCGGTGCGCGATGTAACAGGCGGATGCATCGCCTGACAGCGATCGACACTAAAGCCTGGGCGTGCGGAATGGCGGAGATGTGAGGTTGTGGCTACGCAGCGGTTCGACTAGCTAGACTAATCCCGCTGTTTTGTTACTCGTAGTTTCGACCAAGTGATAACCTCGGTAGCTGAGGCACTCCGTCTGCTGTTGCCAGCTCGTTTTGGTTCACGAACTGTATAGCGAGACTCAAGTTCCCAACCCCCAGCAGGGGCGTTGCAGCTGACGACGGGGGAGAGATAGGCCGCGCAAGTCCGCCAACACTGAACTTTGTATGTCGTCGGGGTTCCGTGCACAAACAGGGTAACCACACCAGGCAAGTGATAAACCTTTGGGTCCACCCCCCCCAAAGTGCACCCTTGCTTTAAGATATGAGAATGAATGACTAGAATGGGAAAATATAACAAGTATATATGAAACCTAACCCTAACCCTAACAAACAGAAAGTACACCTAGACTAACAATAGAAGCTATAACAAAGATTGCTTGACACCTAGCGCACCCCGATGAGACCTCCCTGAGCACTACCGGAGGGAGCACTTTGAATCTTCTTGGGATGACGATCAGGCGACTCAACGGTCGTCGTAGTGTTACCCTTCCAGTCTTGGATCAGGTTCTGTCTCGTGGAGGTCCACTCGCTCGTCTTCTGTGCTCAGCTCTAGCTGTGAGGCCGGGATTCACACTGGGGCTATGGCTGTGCAGGAGCTATGCTGGCTGACCTACCTGCTGACTGACTTGGGTGAGCGGCCTTGTTTTCCTCCGGTCCTGTACGTTGACAACAAGGCCATGATTGCCTTGTGATGGGACCAGAGACTGGAGCATAGAATGAAGCACATTGCTCTTCGTTACTTACTCGAGAGTAACAGCAGCGTGGTCAACTTCGTCTTGCTTACATAGCCTCACAAGACAACACTGCTGATATCTTCACCGAGGCCCTAGGGTCTGGTGATCATCACCGTTTCTGCACTGCTCTAGGCCTTGTGCCTACTCTGCCTCACTTGCTTGTCTCTTGACTCTGCCTTGTACTGTGATATATATATATATGTATATATATCATAGTATAAGGATGTATATGTATCATTGTACTATATATACATGTTTGTTTACTCTTCCTAGGTTGTGATCACTATACTGCTTTTGTTGTTATAACTCTGCATGTAAACTGGCCTTGTGGCTGCTTGCTTTTGCTCGGATTGTGTGGTGATCTTGAGATCCACCCTGAGCTTTGCTTTGTTTCTTCTCTTGACTGGTCTTGTGACCTTTTGTTGTTCTTTTTGGTCCCCACTTCCCCTATGGGGTTGTCCAATTATATTTGTGATATGTTACTGTAGGCTATAGTGGGTTAGCCTTTACAGGGAAAAAACCCATTAGGGTTTTAAATTCTTTGCTTGTACCATTCCTTTCTAGCCATTCCGCTATTCACATCTTTCACATCTTGACACTAACCCTAACAAGTGCAACCACAAATGTCTCCTAGCCTTCTAAGTGTAACCCCAACAACACAAATCCACTTTGGCACACCTCGTAGGCTAGGTAAAGATGCAGACAGGGCCTATCACGCAAGAAACACATCAGAGCGACACGACTAATCCAACCTCTGAGACAAGTGGCCACAAAACCAGACAAGAAGAACATATAGTGTATAATTTGGAATTTAGTACGGTATTACTAGCCCAGCCTCTAAAACAAGAACTGCCACAAGGTCAGTCGATGTGTACAAACAAGTCAGAGATAAAGCAAGTGCATATATCAGCATCCTAACAAGGGAGAACTGTTAGGAAGATAATAACCGGGACGGGAATGGCTCTGACTAAGAAGATGGGAGTACAGGTATGAAACCCTAGAATATTGTACCCCCTAAGGCTAGCCCCAATATAGCCAAATAAAGTATAGTCATATAGATTTGACACACCCCCACAAGCGAAGTTGGGGCTAGCAAGCACAACAAAGGTCACAAGACCAGTCAAGAGAAGAAACAAAACAAAGCTCATGGTGGATCTCAAGATCACCACACAGTACGAGCACAAGAAAGCGGCCACAAGGCTTGTTCACATGCAGTGTTATAGGGGTAACCTGGAATCGGGAAGAGGGGTGGGGGGGGGCACCAAGGAACTGCGATGGGGAAAGAGACGGTAGTAGCAGACCGACTCGCCAAAGGTGACGTCTCGGGAGGACAGGATGCGGCGCATGACTGGGTGGTAAAGCCAAGAAAGACGCTGAAATGGTGCGAGGAGAGAGCTTGCCCGCGATAGTATCGTAGACAACGGCAAGCAAACCCTAGACCCGAAACGCTGACGCATTGCCAACCTCCCCCATCCAACACAGTATAGGCGAGGACTCTTACTTGGAGACACACGGCGAGAGGTTGAGCTAATGTGTAGCGTGTCGAACCGCAAACCGCCACAAAAATTGGGGAGCAGCCGCATGGATCATGGATAAAGCCAATACGGTGCTCAGCGATCCGGGGGAGGGGCCAGAAGCGTGAACGAGTGGGTGATGCTCTCCTCACAAAAGAAGTTCTTACGAAGATGGGAGGAAAAACTCTCCTCTGTGCAGGCGTCGCACCAAGAGGCCCTGGCGGAACCGTGCGCTCGGCTGGAGACGAACAACGCGGATCCAAGAGATCGAAACAACACGGACGTCTCCCTTGTGCTGAAGGAAAAGACCGTGGTGTAGCGCGTGTAGCCGTTGATGAACATCAGGAAGTAGTGCTCCCCTCGATGCAAGGAGTGCACGGCAGCGCAAGCGACGGTGGGAGCCGGGGTAGAGACCTCGGGAGGCCAGAGACAAGGAGACACGAGTGCATGCGACGCAGACGCTATAGTGAGGGGTGACCCAAATGGTGGTGCTAGAGGAGATACGGGTGCGTGAGTAACCGCCACGAGCAAGACGCACACGGTGGACTACTGGAGTAACTGGCTCCGCGGCTATAGACGAGCGGCAGGAGCAACGGACCCATTGGCGACTGGTGCAACAGGCTCACTGGCTACCGAAGCAAGGGCGACGGACTACAGGCGCTGCAGGCGACACGACAGCTACCTTCACACAACCTCCTCCAGCTGCCCCACACCTCTCGACACACACCCCCTGCTCAAACCCTAGTTCCACTCCCACAGCACCCCCCTTTCACACACCCCCTGCTGCACCCTAGGTTCACTCACACCCCACCCCCTAGCACCACTCCGTCGACTCCCACACACCCACCCCCCTCAGCGGCAGCTGCAGCAGTGGGAGACAGAGGAGGAGGAGGAGCAAGGGAGACCACACACCCGCCACCCCCTACTCGCCACCCCCAAACCCTAACACAGGGCAGGGCGGGATGGCGGGCAGGGAGGTTACGGGGGGGGGAGGGGGGGGAAGGGGGGGGGGGGGGGGGGGTGGGGGGGGGGCGACGCGCGGCCTCCCAGGGCGCCAAAGCAGGCGGCAGAAGGGGCGGGGTTGAGGCAGGGCCGAAAGGGGCGGCGACGGGGCCGCAAGGGGCGGCGACGGGGCCGCTGGAGGCGGCGACGGGGCCGATAGGGGCGGCGACGGGGCTGCGAAGGGGCCGCGAGGGGCCTGGAAGGGCGGCGACGGGCCGCTAGGGGCGGCGACGGGGCCGCGAAGAGGCCGCGAGGGGCCTGAAAGGTCGGCGACGGGGCCGCTAGGGGCGGCGACGGGGCCGCGAAGGGGCCGCGAGGGGCCTGGAAGGGCGGCAACGGGGCCGCGAAGGGGCCGCGAGGGGCCGAGAAGGGCGGCGACGGGGCCGCGAGGGGTGGCGACGGGGCCGGTAAGGGTCGCGCGAGGGGTCGTGAGAGGGGCCTCTAGGAGTGCTCGACAAGAGGGCGGCCGACGGGAAGAAAAATTCCGTCGCACGCCACGGGGCGTGCAGCACACAGAGTAGCAGCGGAAGCAGTTAGGTGGGCCCATAGGCCAGGAGCGTAGATGCTTTGATAGCATGTGAAGAATGAGGAATGAAGAAGAGGGGTTGCACTAGCAGCAGTTGGCATACATATAGGAAACTCTAATTGGGTTGTACTCGCTATAGAGTACCCCACTGCAGGCTAGACAATTATAATATTCTGACAAGGACAGTGGAGCCGCATGCAACAACTGGGCCAGAGGAGGGGTTGGCCAGGGTGACATGAACAGGTCCTGTGAGCAGTCTGACTGTGGTGCAATCGTGGAAGAAGCAGTGAGACGCGCCTGAGTCTAGCGTGAAGGTGTGCAAAGCCTCCGCACGAACTGCACCTACGCTAGCAAACTCACAGGCACCTACACTAGCAACATCTACACTACAAGATCTAGGTATATAAGAATAATGTCCACCGTTAGCACTAGCACGAGCAGTATACATAGCATACATGCCAGCATAGATTTGGTCTCAATCAATAGCAAACACATCTACGCCCTTCTTGAGCAATTCTAATTAGCCAGGAGTCTTGGACTGCTCACCAAACTCTGCTTGAAAGACATCATTAAGGTTGTAGAAGCAGCGGTACTCGGTGTGTCCCAGCCTTCCGCAGACCTCTCCAGGGCGGCCCGTGCGCCAGCGGTAATGGCAGCGACCTCCGCCTCCAAGGGCGCCTCGCTGGGCAACCCACTAACGAAGCTGCTTCGGCGAGAGTGCCTTTTGCTGACACTGTTTTCCAGCCCAAAAGCCTCCGCCTCCACTAGCTGCACCACCAGACGCAGCTCCTCGGGTTGCCATACCCGAGCCTCCGCCCCCGCCTGCTCCACCCCGACCGCCACCGGTGGCCCCTCCACCATCCCCACCACCC